ACTTTGGTTAACCTTGGTTATCTCCCAAAGATCACAGAGAAGTCTTCAATGCGATTACGATTTATCTTCAGAGGCTTCTTCCAAGTGGAGATCTGTCTGTGATGTAAGGAAGGATTCCCATGTAGCAAGGCACTAAATAATGGAAACACACCATGAGGAGGTCAACAGTAGTTCACTTTTACTGTTAGAAGGATTAATAAATCCTTATGTATCTGTTCCTATAGCAATCTGCCCTACTCCTCTCTCCCACAGGCTTCCCAGGATCCCTGTCATTTTCTACATATTTTAATTCTTAATGAGGGAAACTGTTGCTAAATAAGAGGAAAACATAAAAGGTGAAAAAATTAGCATGGATTAGTTTGCTGAAATAATCCACTATTCCCCCATTGTCAGGATAGAAAACAGATCTATAATAAACTGTAGAGGGAAAGATGGACCATTTGGATCTGAGGGGGCAAGCATTAAGCATCCAGACAGAAGAGCAGTGATACAAGCATGGCTTAATCAGATCTGAATCCTACTATATCAAGTGTGAGTTTGTGCAAATTAATCTCTATTATAGTTTCTTCAGCTATAAATTAGGTTAATGACAATACTTACCAGTAAAGCAATCATGAAAATTAAATTTACATAACCTGTATAAATCTCTATGCAGAATGCCTGGCTCAAAGTAAGTATTCAAAAAATTAGCAATGATTATATTATGGTCTGCTGGTGGTGAGATAGTCATTAATGTGCCCAGGAAACGAATCAAGGTGACCTAACTGATATCTACAGTACAAAAGAGAATATGTTTTTTTTTCCATGTGCATATAAAACATTTACCAAAACACACCATATTCCAGGTTATACAAGACATCTCAATAAATTTAAAAAGAATCAAGTTTTATGAGGTTTGTTCTCTGAACATAATGAAATTAACTTAGAAATCAGCAATTGAAAGATATCTGAAAAATCCCCAAATATTTGAGATCTAAACAGGACACTTATAAATATTAGCCCTGTGTCAAAGAAGAAATCAAAAGGTAATCTAGAAAGTATTTTATTTTAAACTGAATGAAAATGAAAATACAATGTATAAAAAATTTTGGAATGCCACTGAAGTAGTACATAAAGAGAAATTTATACCACTAAACACCTTCATTAGAAAAGAAAAAAGGGTCTTAAATGACTTCAGTTTCCACCTTAAAAACTAAAAAAGAACAAATTATAACCGAAGTAAGCAGCAGAAGAAAAAAACCAGAAAAGACAGAAGTGTGACTCAATGAAAGAGAAAAACAATGAAACCAAACATTGAATCTTTGAGAAGATTAATAAAATTGATAAACTTTTAGCCAGACTGTTCATAAAAGAAGAAAGATGACACAAATTACAAACTGTTAGGAATGAGAGAGGTGACATCCCTTTAAATTCTACTGAAGGAAAAAAAGAAAATATTATTGAAAACTTTATACCTATACATTTGAGAACTTAAATGAAACCAATGAAAAGATACAAACTACCAAAACTCACTCTAGAAAAAATAGATAATTCAAATGAATTTGAATTTGTTGTTAAATATCTTTCCACAAAGAACACTTCAGGCCCAAATGGCTTCACCAGTGAATTCTACCAAAAACTTAAGGAAGAATCATATTAATTCTACATAAACTCTTCCAGAGAACTGAAGAGAAAGGAATGCTTTCCAACTTACCAAAGGCATTACCAAAGAACAAACTACAGACCACTATCCCTCATAAACATAGATGCCAAAATTATAAACAAAATTTTAGCAAATCAAATCCAGCAATCTATAGAAATAATTATATTTCATGACCAAATGGAGTTTATCCCAGGAGTGTAAGATTGGATTAATGTTCAACTATCAATCAATGTAACTGACTGTATTAAATGTAATTTATTATCATCTCGACATGGAAAGACATTTGTCAAATTACAATAACCATTTCTTACTTAAAAAAAAATTCTCAACAAATTAGGAACAGATGAGAATTTCTACAACTTGAGGAAGAACATCTACGAAATACCTACAATTAACATCATATGGAGAAATGCATTAAATATTAGCAGTTATTAGTATTTTATTTCTTTTCAATGCCAAGAAAACAATTTTTAATTCAGCTTTACAGATACTCAAAAATCTCCTTCACCAAATTTTGACTATAAAAAAGAAGGAAATACAAAAATACCTAAATACAGATAATGTTTAAAAATCTATCCACAACATTTACAAAACAATGAAAACTATGAACTGGGATTGAAGGGCCGATAGAGAACCATGGTTCACCTTTGGAAAGAACCCTGTTTTCCCTTGAGAACCTGATTTCTGGCCTCTTCTGCAAATCCATACGTTATCTACTATCTGGTAACCCTGCAGGGCAGGCCAAAGCAATTACTGCTTTCAGGAGATATCATATCTTTTTGATAACTCTGCCAAACTATCATTTAAAAAATCTTTGAACATATTCAAGGTAAAATTCAAAATAAAAATCTGAGCAGTCTACTCTATTTAGAATTCCTGTCAAATAAGGGATCCAAATTGCACCAAAGATGGTATTAATCCTAATGTAATGAAACTTCTATCACTGTCATATTTTTCAACTCTCCTAGTTTAGTGTCTAAGGAAGATCAGCCCTCCATGCGGATTAGTGTTGTGAATTAACATTTTCATTTCTAAAGCAAATCCTAAAAATGACAGTGAGACATGGTAAAAGAACTATCTCCCTACCATCCACCATACAAAAGGCAGAAAAACAATTTACGTATTTTGAAATACAGATTATAGAACACTAGCACAGAAAATCAAGAGAAGTATCATGACAACGGCTGAATATCTATATGAATACTTGGTCAGGCATTGTAATGGTTGTTTTATCACATATTACCTTCTTTAAACCTCACAGTGACTACTATGAATCTTATTTTATAGATGAGAAAGCTGAGGATCAAACGGTTAAGTATGTCTGTGATATTACAAACCTGATAAGAGGTATAGCCATTCATTAGCAAATGGAAAATAACCAATCTCTTGAATGACCACCAGGATACATTTAATAAGTCACTGGCCCATCAAGATGAGACACCTTTTTTTTTTTTTTTTTTGAGACACCTTTCTTTTACATAGTGAAAGAAGGACCGTTTTGGAGGGCAGGTGAATAAAAAAAAATGCATAATTGCAGGGGGATCAACTTTGTTTTTAAAAATCTATTTGTTTATTTTGGTTGCATTGGGTCTTTGGTGCTGCGCGCAGGCTTTCTCTAATTGTGGCGGGCAGGGGCTACTCTTCGTTGAGGTGCGCGGGCTTCTCATTGCGGTGGCTTCTCTTGTTGCAAAGCACGGGCTCTAGGTGCATGGGCTTCAGTAGTTGTGGCGTGCGGGCTCAGTGGTTGTAGCGCACGGGCTTAGATGCTCCGCTGCATGTGGGATCTTCCCGGATCAGGGATCGAACCCGTGTCCCCTGCACTGGCAGGCAGATTCTTAACCACTGCGCCACTAGGGAAGTCCCAGGGGGATCAAGTTTTAGGAGAGAGTATATATGCAGGTTGAGTATGTAGAAATTGATTCCTTACATACCTCTTGGAAATTTTTATGTATTTCCAGGAGCATGTATACCCTTTGAAGATGACTGAGTTAATACATGCCAGGCATATAGTAAGTGCTCAGTAAATGCAGAGGCCATAGAGAAGAAATGTACTTTACTACTGATGCAAATATGCTGCTCATCATAAACACTGCATTTTTCAATCTGAATATTCATCAACTGACATCCTGGCTTCTACTGATCCCTAAATTTGTTAATGTTAAGTTTTGCTATAAAAGCCTGATCCCTACTCAGGCTGCTGACCATCAGATTTCTGGATCTACAAAACTGAGGACATGCTCTGAACTGTGTAGCTCCTGAAGCTACCAATCTTCTTTTGGAATTTTGATAGAAGATTTTTTTACTAACTAAATATGTTAACTGCCTCCTCCTGCCAATGTTTAATATTAACCTATTACCTGATATGTTGCTCATTTACCCAGTTAATGTACATAAATCTATTTTAAAATAATGAACGATAATCTCTACAACTCCTTAAATCTTTTTAGTCTTTCTTGCTTTTCTTTGATTTCTGAGTATGAAAAACTAAGTAAAAACTCAAGAAATGGATTGTTTATACCACATAAATAGTTCAGTTCAGTATTCACTGCATCCAGGACTGTGATAATTGGAGGATATAAAGAATCATCAAAATGACAACAAAAAAAATCTCAAAATCTAGTGTGAAACTCCTTATAATTGTAAATTATATATATATATATATATATATATATATATATATTTTTTTTTTTTTTTGCAGTACGCGGGCCTCTCACTGCTGTGGCCTCTCCCGTTGCGGAGCACAGGCTCTAGACGTGCAGGCTCAGCGGCCATGGCTCACGGGCCCAGCCGCTCCACGGCATGTGGGATCTTCCCGGACCAGGGCACGAACCCGTGTCCCCTGCATCGGCAGGCGGACTCTCAACCACTGCGCCACCAGGGAAGCCCGTAAATTATATTTTTTAAAAATGTATTTCTGCAGACTTCCCTGGTGGTGCAGTGGTTAAGAATCTGCCTGCCAATGAAGGGGACATGGGTTCAATCCCTGGTCTGGGAAGATCCCTCGTGCCATGGAGCAACTAAGTCTGTATGCCACAACTACTGAGCCTGCGCTCTAGAGCGCGTGAGCCATAACTACTGAGCCCACTTGCCACAACTACTGAAGCCCGTGTGCCTAGAGCCCGTGCTCTGCAACAAGAGAAGCCACCGCAATGAGAAGCCCACACACCACAACAAAGAGTAGCCCCGGCTCACTGCAACTAGAGAAAGCCCGTGTGCAGCAATGAAGACCCAACGCAGCCAAAAATAAATAAATAAAATAAATAAATTTATTTAAAAAAAAGAAGAAAAAGATGTTAAAACAATTATTTGAAAAAAATGTATTTCTGTTATTTGGCTTCTCACTGTTTTCTATCAAGAAATTGATTTTTTTCCCACTTTTAAATCATTAAAATTAGTAAAGCAAACTAATATCAAAATTAGAGTAACAATCAAAAATACCCAGTGTCACGGGTGGCCTGACCTTCAATCATACCCATCAGCTCATTCTAGTTTTAGATTCTCATATTGTCATAAGAGAATCAACAACTATTCCACTTCTAGTTGAATAATGTGTCATGATTTTCCATACACATTATTTTATTTGATACAACAATACTTTGACAAACTCAAGTAACCGCATCTTATAGTTAAGGGAACTGTGATCCACTGAGTCCAGCACTTTTTTCTAGTGCCCCACGCTTCCACTGCAGTAAAAGTAAGTCCATAAATATGTTGAACATATTTATTGGCAGGATGTTGGGTGACCAGAAAGCAAGTTGATCACAAATCCTCGTTAACTGAGAATGCAGTGCACACTTTTTTCCAGGTGGCTCCAGTTTTTAGACAAAGACCAAAAACTGTAGCTTCTCTATAAAGGGCAGGACTGGGAAAGAGGCTGTACCGTTAGAAAAGTGAGCCAGAACTAGGGCAAACAGGCCTGACAGGTAAACAAAAGCCCTTTTGTCCCAAAACACATTCTTAAATACTTCTCAAATACACAGACAGAATATTTAGAAAATAAGTTTTAATTCCAAAACTCTTCTTGAAAGTAAATCTCTTGCTACCCCAGTAAAGTAGTGATGACATTTTGCCATTAGAAAAGGTAAATGTCTCTTTAGTTCTCATAAGTAGGTAGTGATCACACAAGCAGATGTGATCAAGTGTTCTAAAGAATGAATGATAACAAAAATGGTGTTTCTGTAGATATAGCTTCCAATGAAAACTTCCACATTTAAGAATCAATATTTTCTCAAGATGGTGGGATATGAAGAGGTTCTGTTCCACAGTCTGACTTCAGGCAAATCTTTTCATTTCTCTGGGCCTATTCGCCCATTCATAGAATAGGGGGGTTGGACCATGTGTGTCCGTTAACTTTCATCCTAGAACCTAAAGTGGCCAACACAAAAATAAACAAATGCAACCTAATTATTAACTTAAAAGCTTTTGCACAGCAAAGGAAACCATAAACAAAACGAAAAGACAACCTACAGAATGGGAGAAAATATTTGCAAATGATGCAACCGACAAGGGAATAATCTCCAAAATATACAAACAGCTCATACAGCTCGATATCAACAAAACAAACAACCAATCAAAAAAGGGGCCGACTGAAGATCTAAATAGACATTTCTCTAAAGAAGACATACAGATGGCCAAAAGGCACATGAAAAGATGCTCATTATCACTAATTATAATTAGAGAAACGCAAATCGAAACTACAGTGAGGTATCACCTCACACTGGTCAGAATGGCCGTCATCAAAAAAGTCTACAAATAATAAATGCTGGAGAGGGTGTGGAGAAAAGGGAACCCTCTTACACTGTTGCTGGGAATGTAAATTGGTGTAGCCACTATGGAGAAGAGTATGGAGGTTCCTTAAAAAACTAAAAATAGAGCTACCATATGATCCTGCAATCCCACTCCTGGGCATATATTTGAAGGAAGCCATAATTCAAAAAGATACATGCACCCTAATGTTCACTGCAGCACTATTTACAAGAGCTAAGACATGGAAGCAACCTAAATGTCCACTGACAGACGAACAGATAAAGAAGATGTGGTATATATACACAATGGAATATTAGCCATAAAAAAGAATGAAATAATGCCATATGCAGCAACATGGATGGACCTAGAGACTATCATACTAAGTGAAATAAGCCAGACAAAGACAAATATCATATGATATCCCTTATATATGCAATCTTAAAAAAAAAGATACAAATAAACTTATATACAAAACAGAAATAGACCCACAGACATAGAAGACCAACTTATGGTTACCAAAGGGGAAAGCGGTTGGGGGGTTGGATAAGTTAGGAGTTTGGGAATAACATACACACAATACCATATATAAAATAGATAACCAGCAAGGACCTACTGCATAGTACAGGGAACTAGACTCAGAATTTTGTAACGGCCTATAAGGGAAAAGAATCTGAAAAAAATATATATATGTATGTATAACTGAATCACTTTGCTGTACACCTGACACTAACACAACATTGTAAATCAACTATACTTAAATAAAAATTTAAAAAATGAAAAAAAAAGTTGGCAAATGAGATCACATACAATTTGTAAATATGCCTTGTTCTATTTGGCTTGACACAGTGTGAAAAGGCATCAAACATAACATTTTACCTCTCCCCTCTGTATTTGATATTTATAAGGTAATTGTCACTATAAATAATTTCCAAAGGTAAGATTCAGAAATACATGAGAAATATTTTCAATTACTACTACTGCTACTATTACTACTAATAGTTTACATTTATCAAAACCTTACTATGTGCTAGGCACTGCATTAAGAACTTAACATATATTTTACTTATTTATTTACTTATCTATCCAGCAGCTTTCAAACATATTTTCTATATTGGCTATTTCGGGCTCAAGTAAAATAAATAGTGATTTAAGGGATAAACTAGTTGAGACTCCTGGAAAGGTATTTATGAGTATAAAAGCTTCAAAATGATTTACTTTTAGTGACTTACTGGGAATATTAAATTTTGCTTCTAAGACTTTCCTTTCATCTTTCTTTATTCCATTATATACATACATACATATGTGTACATATATATTTTAATACCAAATAAAGCTGATGTATATACTATTATTTTTAGCACTTTATAGATAAGGATGCTGAGGTCCACTGAAATAACGAAAAGTCTTCAAGGTCTCTGAGCTTAAAAGTCACAAGTTATGCCTGTCCAAAGCCCATGGTCTTAGCCACTAGATGATAATGCCAACATAAAGTCTGATATCTCCATAGGTAATGCTACCACACTGTTCATGGAACAGCTTAGTCTCATCCAAATTATCACATAAGTCAAATTAATAAAATATTATCTATATATCTCTGCTAATAAAGTAAAATAACCATATATTTGCCTAAAACAATAACAATGATATCTATTATTGTAAAATGTAATAAAAGCCAAACCTTACCATGTACCCCTTTTTAAACCAGAAATTTCCATATTAAGTCAAAGTTGTTGCGCTTCTAGTTTTCCTACTAATCTAAAAGTATCTTTTATACAGTGCCATAATAATTGCATCTCTCTTAATAAACTAAAACTGAGAAATATGACTGAGTGTCCTTTACGTACTTTAATGCTGTCTCAAATGATCTTGGGCACAGATGACATCACCTACATTTGAGGAAACACTGAAGCTCAAATATGTAAACATCTCCATACTAGGCCAATATCACTGCAAAATAAATTACATTATAAAAATTGTAGGCTATGCCTAAAATGAGGGCAATGGAGTGTGTAACATTTTAGTAATTGTTTTTTTTTATCATCTAAACCTAAGATCCAAACAGTAATGAAAACTTTCAGGAGCTGCATATTTAAACATTTTTCTGAAATGTAATCAATCCAGAAAGAAATTAGAGATTATGTTACAAATGGAAAGCAACTTCTATTATTTTGCAATGGCTCAAAATTATTCATTAAATTTCATTTTTGAAAACGTCTAAATTCAGAATAACCTGCCAACTTATAATTTGAGAAATGTCAATAACTTCAAAATAATAAGACTTGCATATTTTTTTCTAAAATTACTTTTACATATCTCTCAAGAACATAAGTAATAAGTTTGGATTTGTAAATACTGCAAATACTTCAATGACTGCAACAGAGTTAACACAAAAAACTCATTAGCTACAAACGCCATCTTGTGGTCCATTTAAAAACTAATTTTGTAGTATTAGTCTGTAGATCTCTAACTCAAGATCTGCTAAAGATAGAAAAAGCCTTAGATACGAATAACTCCACTTCTGTCATTGTTACATGTGGAAAAATTGGGGCTCCAAAAGATCTAATACATTGAAAATCTTTATAGAAAGAATATGAGAGCCAAATTTTCGTATCTTTTCAACTCATACTTTTCTATACCATATCATCATTGTTTTTTAGCAATAACAAACCAATTACATGAAGTTTGTCCAGTTTAGTACCCCAGACACTTCAAACACCAAGCTTTTCTGTGTTTGCTTATCAAACATGGAAATACAACAAACTAAAAAAAAGAGCACATTTACTTTCGGATTACTGGAAAACTATCAAGGCACAGCTATGATGTTTAACTACATGATTTTAAAGCATTTCACACATGTCTTCTAATTTTATTCTCCTAAAGACCTGTGAGGGATGTGTGTGGATAGGGCGTGGAGGAAGAGGAGGACCATCAGTACCACTTTTTTTTTTTTTTTTGCTGTACGCGGACCTCTCACTGTTGTGGCCTCTCCCGCTGCGGAGCACAGGCTCCAGACGTGCAGGCTCATGGGCCCAGTTGCTCTGCGACATGTGGGATTTTCCCGGACCGGGGCACGAACCCGTGTCCCCTGCATCGGCAGGCGGACTCTCAACCACTGCGCCACCAGGGAAGCCCGGTACCACTTTTTGACAGATTAGAAAACTGGGTATAGAGAAGATATGATAAAGATTTTACAATTAGTGGCAGGCACTCTGATATACAATTTTAATTTTTTTCATTAGTAAACCCACCTTCTTTTTTCAAGATGTTACATCATGCAGTGTGTGCATGTGTGTTTTAAATCATTTCTTCCTTTTCTTTGCAGGAACTATATATTGGTCCATAGTATATAGTCTGCCATTTATGAAGAACAATAAGAAGAAAATTCTTGATTCAGAATCTAGATAATTTTAGAAATTATTTCATTATCATATATAATCGCCTATTCAAGTATTTGATAAACTTAACTACAGAAAAAGTTATCCAATCCAAAGGGTGGGAAGAGGCACAGACTGTCTATGCTATGGCATAACTGTCCCTTTTACATCTAAGCTCAAATTCGCTTGTACAGATAATTGAGAAATAACTATCTCACAGAATAAGACTGGTGAAAATGTTTTTAATACAAGTTTTTAAGAAAGCAGAAACCTGCAAAACAACAAAAGCTTTAAAATTACATGAACTATAATAAAAGATGTACACAGTTATGTGGAAACATGAGCTATAGCTATGGCTTTGGAATATGCAATTCAGAACAGAAATCATCACTTAATAAAACAGCAAAATAGTTAATTACATAATACTTTAGAATTCTAAAAATGATAAACACTCGATTTTTAAGATTTCCTTAGAAGTACATAAAAGTCAGAACCTGGTGCATTTAAACTGAATTCTATAATTAACTGTGCTTTATATACATTATAATACTTGAATATTAATCAGATTATAAATGTTTAAATGAGAAAAGACACTACCTATGTTAAGTGTAAGAGATGAACAGACTTTTAGAAAACAGAAGGAACTTTAGAGCAGCGCTTCTCAAACTATGTGCGATGATGAATAAGTCTTTTTCTTTCAATCTGCTGAGGACCATTAAGTGAACCTACTGAGCTGACTAGTTTGCACTTCATGCCACAAGAAATCACCACAAAAGCTGGATAATACTCGAATTGGCCTATACCTTATTCAACAAAAGTCTAATAATCACCCACTTGGATGTCATGACAATGTCTAATTGCTATAGAAGATTTCAACTGATTACGTTTAGTTTCTGAATCTATCATGTTATAAATCTGTAATTAACAATTTATGAATTGGACATTAGTCCACAGTTTAAGTTGCATCACTTTAGAGATCAACATAATTACCTGAAGTTTCCTAAACTGTGTTCCATGACAGGCTAATCCTATAAGAAGAAATGCTGACCTAGTCAAAGAAATTATGTCTTCAGATTCATAAACCATATAAGCACATAAAAGACTCTGAGAACTTTAGTAAAAACGCCTGTTTAACTCAAACTTATTTGACTACAGAACCTATCTTTTCTTTCACGATTAACACCCATTAACATTACAAAAACTAATTTCCTATAAAATGCATTGAGAAATTCTAGTACAGACAGA